CCCTCGCTCGCTCTCACTTGCGCGCTTACCGCTCTCTCTCTCTCACTCGCACGCTTACTCTCGCTCTCGATCGCTCGCTTCCTCGCTCGCTCGCTCCTTGCTCGCTCGCTGTCTTTCCCGCTTGCTCTTACTCGCGCGCTTACTCTCGCTCTCGATCGCTCGCTTCGTCGCTCACTCGCTCTTTGCTCGCTTGCTCTCTTTCGGCTCGCTCGCTCCTTGCTCGCTTGCTCTCTTTCGGCTCGCTCGCTCCTTGCTCGCTTGCTCTCTTTCGGCTCGCTCCTTGCTCGCTTGCTCTCGCTCCTCGATCGCTCGCTCGCTCCTTGCTCCTTGCTCGCTTGCTCGGCTGGCCGTTGAATCGCTTACGAAAAAAAACACTTCGGCTCTTTTCCCCACTCGCTCGGCCTCGAGGCCGTAGGGTCTCTCGGTCGGTCGGTCCACTTAGTCGGCCCATCCATTGGTCGGTCCGTCCGCCCGTTGGGTCCACCCGTCGGTCGGTCCTTCGGGCCTCACCAGTCATTGGGTCCACTCGTCGGGTGGGCGGGCGGGCCTCACCACTCCGTCCGCCCTGCCTGGGCGCTAAGAGCAGGGTGAAACCAGATCACTCGGTCGGTCGGGCCCCCCTTCTGAGAGCAGAAGGAGAAGTGGTTGTCTAATGTACGAACTGTAGGTAGTAACAGCCTAGGAACCAGATCACTCGGTTTCATGGGACCAGGACATTCAGTCCCTGATAGGGCCGCTGTGGGCCGGTAGGAGTGTGTCAGTTGGTAGGGACTTAGTGGGAACAGGATCCTCGGCCCCTGCTAGGGCCGTTGTGGGCCATTAGGAGAGTGTAAGTAGGACCGGGACGTTCATCCTCTGGGCCGAGTTAGTCCCAGATTAGTTCTGAGAAGGTCTCTCACTGAGTTATTCTACCATTGGATATGAGAAGTCTCACTGTAGTATTGTAGTATGAGGTCGTGGGGCATGCGTTGCAATAGTAACAGTTATCAAGTTCCTTGAAGTTCAAGCTCAGACTCAGTTACTGGGTTGGTCGCTTTGAAAGGCATAGTTAGTTCATTTGTTATACTCTGCATTTGCAAGAGTATCCGCAGGTCTCCTACCTATAAGCTAAGCTGGCTGATGCTATCAGATACCCCCGGGTTGAAGTGTGAGGTCCCCGGCCTCTGTTTCGTATTGTTAATGAATTGTGGATTGATATTAAAAAAAAAAAAAAAAAAAAGCAGGGTGAAACTTGGGGGAACGCGGGGGGAGCGTGGGGGGAAAGGAAGGGGGGAAGGAAGAGGGGAAGGAAGAGGGGAAGACGAGGGGCGGGGGATTCAGGAAAGAAGAGCCCCAGGGGGAAGAAACCTGGGACGAAGATGGGATGAAACGCGGGACGGAAGGGAGGGAGAAGGCGCGGGGAATGTGGGAAGGAGGAGAAAATGGCAGGAAGAACAAGATGGCAAGTAGGAGGAGGAGGAGAAGATGGCAGGAGGAGGAACTTCAAGATCGTAAGGAGCTGGAGTAGTAGGGGAAGGAGAGGGGAAGAGGAGGAAGAAGAAGATGACATGGCAAGGTTGTGTGTAAGTGTGTGAGGAGGAGGAAGGAAGAACATGGCAAGGAGCAAGAGGAGGCATGGAGGAACCGGAGGAACGCGGGGGGAACGTGGGGGGAAAGGAACGGGGGAAGGAACAGGGGAAGGAACAGGGGAAGGCGAGGGACGGGGGATTCGGGGAAAAAGAACCTCAAGGGGAAGAAGGCGGGGTCGAAAATGGGATGAGACACGGGACGGAAATGAGGGAGAAGGCGTGGGGAATCAGGGAAGGAGGAGACGATGGTAGGAAGAACAAGAAGGCAAGTAGCAGGAGAAGGAGAAGATGGCAGGAAGAGGAACTTCAAAATGGTAAGGAGCTGGAGTAGTAGGGGAAGGAGAGGGGAAGAGGAGGAGGAAGAAGATGACATGACAAGGTTGTGTGCAAATTTATGAGAAGGAGGAAGGAAGAACATGGCAAGGAGTAAGAGGAGGCATGGAGGAGCCAGAGGAAGACGACAAGGTTGTGCGTGTATGTGTGAGGAGGAGGAAGAAGATAGCAGGACCCCAAGGATATAGGTCTACATCCCTTCACGCAAATGAAATAAAGAAAGCAAATCAGGCAGGGTTAAAAATTTAGTCATGTATCCTCACATGCATGCGAGGAAAACGACGATACAACATATCAGTCCCGTTCAAAAAGTGTACTTCTCCGACACTTTAAGGACTGCATTTTCCACTTCGTTGTCGTCCTTGGCTCAATCCAAGGTTACAGGGCTAATTCTGTAACCTTCCCATGAGGAGGAAGAAGATGGCAAGGACACCGAGCAGACAACCAAAACATCCCTCTACGAAAACGAATTAAATAAAAGATATCTGATTCAGGCAAGTTACAAACACATTCCTTCATCCAGGCAAGAAAGCAGACGAAATGAGTAAGACAGTCCTTCAAGCGGTTTTGTCCTTAGAGAAAAATTCAATCTCGAACAAGATATGTTCTTTTCCAACCCTTAAAGGACTGTTTCTCCAATTTTGTTTTCGTTCTTGCCTGAAGCCACGATTATAGGGCTATGTCTGTAACCTTGGCTAAGGAGGAAAACGATGCAAAGAAGACGCAGGATCCCTTTAAGGAACAGGACGAAATGAGAAAGACAAGTCCTTCAAGTGCGTTTGTCCTTAGACAAAAATTCCACCTCGAACAATACGTGTTCTTGTTTGACCTTCAAAGGACTGTTTTTTCCATTTCGCTGCCATTCTTGTCTGAATCCAATTTATAGGGCTATATCTCCAATTTTGGCTGAGGGGAAAGAACATGGAACGAAGATGGAGGATACAAGTCTTTATCAATCTACGAAAATAATATAATTAAAATAAACCAGACAACTTATTAATAGAATCTTATATCCAAACATCCACGCAAGGCAGAGGAGAAAATGAAAAAGACAGTCCGTCAGGCGTTTTTGTCCTTAGAAACTAAATTAAAATCCGGCCCTCGAAGCACTGTATTTCTCATTTCGTTGTCGTCCTTGCCTGAATCTAAGGTTATAGGGCTATATCTGTAACTTGGGCTGAAGAGTAAGACGGTGGAAAAAAGACAAAGGATACAGGCCTACATCAATGTACGCAAATGATATAAATAACCCAATTGATGCAGGTTTACAGATATCGTCCGGTATCCCTAGCTCCAGGCAAGAAAGACGACGAAATAAGAAAGACAGTCCTTCAATGGTGTGTGTTTTCCATTAGCCAACAATTCAGTCTCGTTCAAGAAATGTTCTTTACCGAGACTACAAGGATCTAAACTCACATTAATCATTGAACAACATCCGAACTCTTCTTAGTGTGATTTCGTTTCCTCTATTTTGAAAAGTACAATCTATTATTTATCCTTAATAGGCACAACGTTGTTAAACACTAAAGGAAAAATTCCAAAAGAGTCCTTTGTACGTAGAATGTCTTTTTTAGATAAAAGAATATCCACATTATAACACATTAAATCGAAATCTTAAGATTTCATTACACAAATGTCGACTTTAAAAGTACAACACTTTATTAAGTAAGGTTAGCAGCGACGATCTACACTACAACGACGTTCTTGAAGCCTCTACGACGACCCTCGACGCTGCTTTCTCTCTCTCTCTGTTTGTACATGCATATTTCCCCTCTAAGCTACGACGACGCTCAACGACGACACTCGATGGTGGTCCTCTTTGAAATTCTCTTTGTCCCTCCCGACCTTGTGAAGTCTTTCTCACAATTCGAGAATCTTGTGGCGGAGTTTTTCAAATTTTCGTGGTTTGGTCTCCAAGAAGTTAAATGTTGCGCATTCAATCTAGGCGGAAACCAGTTAAAGCGCAAGCGGGCGCTTGTCGTGCAAAATGTTTTGTTTTACCAGGTCGTGGCTTCCCAAAATTTTGGAGAGCACTGTTGGCGGGAAAATCAAAATTTTTAACGATGTTGTTGACGGAAATTTTAGTGGCCGGGCGTTCGAAATTATTTGTTTCACCGGGAGTCCTGGATCTCCTAAATTTTCGCCACTAACGGTCCAAAATTTCAACTTTTGCGAAAACTTGTGGCGGGATATTCCAAATTTTTAACAATGCTTTTGAAGGGGATCCAAGTAGCTGGGCTCTCCAAATTTTTCGTCGCGAACGGCTTAAGAATTCTACTTCTCTAAAATCCGTAGGCGGGAAACTTCAAATTGCGACAATTTTCTTGACGCGGGTTCCACTAGGGGGTGTTTTCATTTTATTTCAATTTCGTGTCCAAGAAGTTCACGCCCTTTAGCGACTCTCTTGTGGTCGTCCTCTGAGATTGGAAGCTTTCAAGTGATCCTGTGATTGACAGTCGTATCATTGTTGACAGTCGTGTCGTTGTTTAGAGTCTTTCAGATTTGTTATCTACTTTCTCGCCCCAACACCGAGTCTTCTCTTTTGTAGGCGACTCCATCGCCACTTCTAGACGCAGGATAGGTTGTTGTGTCATATCTTTCTGCCATGGATTCTTTCACCGAAATACATACTCGTCTTGTCGTTAATATGACCACAACCCAAGGTCAGAGTAGTCGCAAGATTAAACCCGTGAGGTGGTTTCCAAACCTTTCTCAATGTAAGAACAGTGTTGATGCCAAGAGTGTCAAGACGAAGATTATCAGGTGGTTTCCAGACATGCGTTAATGTTCTACAAGCGGAGACGACAACCGGAACCCTCTACCACCGAAGCTCAGTGCAATTGGTGAGAAGACCACCAATGTCTGTTTGTTTCCGAAGCGCCCTCGATCGAAGACAACAACAAGAACGGTTATTGCGCCTGAGTGAGGGACAAACATGGTGAAAGGTGTCTGCACAACTGGCAAAACTGGGAGTACAATCCAGATATAGCGCCCGAGGAAGCATCAGTGCCCAAGCGCTGAAGGGGAACAATCTAGAGAGATCGACAATGTACAGAACTTGAGCGAGAACTTTGCTGTAAAAGAAATGCACGGCAACAGTATTGCGCAAGAATTGCGTGACGACGACAATGAGGAGGAGGAATCGAGTGACGGCGATGACGGGGAGGAATCAAACGACGACGATGACGAGGAGGAGGAATCAAACAACGATGACGAGGAGGAGGAATTGAGCGAGGATGAGGAATCAGAAGACACAGACTCTGAGGATAATGAAGTAAAGGATGCATCAGAAGTTGATGTCGACATGCTCAAGAAAAGTCTATTCGGAAAATTTTTAGGAGAAGCGAACCAGATAGTGGCACAGAAGGTGAGAAGAGGATTGTACAACAAATCAAGCAAGAGCGAGAAACCTCCTTACAACTTGGGAAAGCGCGGCAGAAATGTACGTGTGTACAACAAAAAATCTAACTACCACGTGAACATGAAGAATGTCGAAGTAATTCTCAAGGAAGATTGCTGCAAGGTCAAATGTTACACGAAGTTCACAGTAGAAGATGTTTTCTACTAGCGAGAAGAATTTTAGGCGATGAACCAACCTGAGCAAGTCAACTTCCTTCTCGCAGAGATGAGGGCTGCGTCGTATTTCTCGGATGATGGAGATTTACAGGTGTTAAGAGTGACATTCAACGGCATAAAGGTTTGCACAAAAGCATGGGGAAGGTTGTACGGATGCTCGACTACACGTGTTGCAAGGCTACGCAAAGACTTCAGAGACGGACTAGTGTTGTACGAGCACGCAAACAAAGGCTCAGTCGGATTATCTGCTTCATCACAACAAATTCTGACCTGGTTGCATGAATATTTTCGATTTAACACTTACAGTATGTCGAATAGCGACAAGTTTCATCTTTCAGGTACTCTCCGACGCAGAGACGTGTATGATTTCTTCAAGCGAGACTGCAAAGCGCTTTACACGAAGAAGACTCTTCCTTCCCGTTCTAGATTTCTTCAAGGAGGGTTGTTCCACATGTCTGAAATTCAAGACAGGTCGTTCACAGGCAACCAGTGTGTTCGAACGAGGTGATGACAGAACCTCAGTGCTTATTTTCTCTCTCTTTGTTTTCCTATCTCTTCTTCTTCTTTCTCTAAGCATTCTACTGCTCTCTCTCTCTCTCTCTCTCTCTCTCTCTCTCTTAGAGTCGATCTGTCTCTCTTTACTTTACTTTTTACCATTTGTATTTACAAAAGAATTATTTATGTTTCGCCTCAAATAATAAGTTAAAGACAATCTGGTAAACGATGTATCTCATTAAAGCACGATAGGGTTCATTTTTTAAAGTTCGGCACAATGCGAACGGCTGTTCTGACTCATTTTTCAATTTGTGACATAGCTCGACTGACTGTTCCGACTTATAGCCCTATAAGTTGTTATTTACAGTAAAGTAGAAACTGGGATTCGCGCATTCAGGAAAGGATTCTCATGAAACTCTTCTTCTTCTCTCCCTAAGTCTTTATCTTCTTCTTATTATTTTCTCTCTCTCTCTCTCGCTCTCTCTCTCTCATTACAACCTTCTTAACATTTGTGTTTATTTACTAAGAATTTGTGTTCCGTCGTAAACAGTTAGTTGCAGAAGATATGGTTAATGACGTTTCTCATTAAAGCACCTCAGTGTTCATTCTTCAACGTTTGGCACAACGCGACTGGTTGTTATGACTTACAACCCTGTAAGTTGTCTATTTGTACAAAAGTAGATGTTGCAATTAGCGCATTCGAGAAAGAATTCTCATGACACTAGAAAGTTTTTTAAGGAATAAATTCTGTAATTTTTCGTTTTGAGGCGATTGACTGTTCTTGGTTACGTCCTTGCAACCGACTATCTCTAAAAGACTACAACTTTATTAGTGACATCTTCGTTGTCCTGCCCGTACTCTTTGAGTTAATTAAAACAAACGTTTTGTGGAAGAAATTATTTATTAATGCACGACACTTATCTACTGACTTTTCTGAGTTAAAGCCATTTAACACATTGTGTGGTAATCGGCATGGTTTTTATTCTGAGTTATAGCCCTATAATACGTTGTGTGGTAATCGGTTTGGATTTTATACTGAGTTATAGCCCTATAACACGTTGTGTGGTAATTGGCGTGGATTTTCAGGTGCTTATTCGGGTTTGGTCTCTCTTTGTGAACGAGTCTTGACAGAGTATTCGCTTGTTTTATTTTTTGCGCAGAAATGTTTGGCAAGGCACTAGAGAAACACTGGTTAATGTAAGGAGAAGAGAGACAAAAACACAGTAAGCATCGCCACAAGGCTTTCAGCCGACCGACAGAGTACGTCACAATGATCATCGATGGTATGGATTAGAGCAAGACCATACTGCCACACTTCACAAGGATTCCAAAGGATTCGGAACTGAAAGAAGGGAACTTTGTGAAAGTTCACGTGGTCGGTGCCAAGGTGTTAGGATTTTCATCGTCCGCCTTTGCAACTGTATTCTTTGACAACTTCAAATCCGATTCTAATTGCATGCTAACTATTCTTCATCGCCGAATTTTCTCAACTTCCTATATCATTTTCAAAAGTCTTGTATCTCACACTTGATAACACTGCGAAAGAGAACAAGAACAAATTTGTGTTAGCGTATTTTTTTTTCTTAGTACAGATGAGAGTGTTTAGTAAACTTAAGTTAAACTTCCTTCTTGTGGGTCACACACACGAGGACATTGATGAGATGTTCAGTTGTTTCTCGAGAAAGCTGACTGTACATGATGCGTTCGATCTTCCTGAGTTGCAACACATCATTACGGAGTCATACAAGGTAGAACAAGATCATGGCGTTTACGTTGAGGAAACGACGGAAACAATGGATTGGAAGTTGTACATTCAGGATCATCTACAAAATGTCAATGATATTAGTTTCAATCAACATTTCCGAATCAAGCGCAACGGCGACGGAGAGGTGCGCATTTGGAGCAAGCAATATCACAATTCGCAGTGGCAGCCGAACGACAGAGAAGGTCTGGACATCTTCAAGTCAGAGCCAACAGAACAAGTTCAAGCTTCACCAAAGCATGCAATCCGATCTTTGGAAGCCAGATTTCGGCTTACTTGTCGGGGTGAGGACGAGAGGAGTGATAAGGTCGGCAGCAGCGAAGGTCATGTTCGTAATCGAAAAATGGGAGGGTCTTCGAAATTCAAGGTTGACGATGATGTACTTTCCATTGCAGCCTTGAAAGCCAACGTTCAAGGTTTGTCGAATTATGCTTAACCCCACAATATTGAATGGTGGAATAAGTTCATAGCAACGCAGGAAACACTCGACCTTGAGGACAAAAGTCTCAAAGAGCCTTTCGCGTGACCCTCTATCGAAGTTGATGCCAACAAACCAGGTGAAGAAGTTTTTTCAACCACTGCTGGCTTCGATCAACGCTGGGATGATTTTTTCCCTCCGGAGAGACCCGTCTACATCGGTGCTCGCAAGAGCAGACAGTTCCGAGAGGACAAAGACGGAAAGTACGACGATCTCGAGGTCAACACTTTCATCTCATTACGAGCTTGTAGGGCAGGAAGAGAGAGGCAAACCTTACCACATTGGCAAGGTTGTCGAGCTGCTAGCAAATAAACGCTTCAAAGTCGCTTGGTTTGCACAACGTGAGAAGGAGAGGGTTACTATCCTCAATTCAAGACAAATCCTCAAGGAAAAACTACGAGAGAGCCTTCCGAGGACGTTTACGACTGGAGCTGCGACGTTCTTTGTTACAACTTCCAACTGAAGACGGACAAGACCTTGTTTTCGTAGACCCGACAAAAGATATCCGAGATGTTGAATTCAATGGCAACGGAGGATGTTGACTAGGAAAACCTTCTAGGAACCATTTGTTCAGGAGGTTGTCAGAGAGTCATCGCGATTAAGGTCACTTCTGGTTCCGCATCAGAGCAGGTTTCATTTTGTCGTTGTTCGCCAAATTGTCTGAGTTCAGTTGTTAGTGGTTATTAAACCCGTGTAAAGTTTTGTACATCAGCAGGTCGTAGTTCGAATGACCCGTTTAGCCAGGCATGTGTGGCCAACCTTTCTTGTTTTTACGATATTTTTCATTGCATTTCACGTACTTTTAGTTTTCAATTTTAAGAATTTGAAAATTTACTAAAGATTTGCAGTTCGAGTTTCAACTACTCGATTAAAGTTTTAGAACTTTAAGTTCATTGAGCTTTGGTAACAGATTTTCAACGATGTCGTATGCGTTTTCAGGGCTTCAAACGCTTGACAGATTACCTACCAAAATTTTCTACACTTTGGGTTTCTTGCGTTTAGGCGAAAACAGTGATCATTTTTGGAACGTTTTTTGTGCCCTAAGCTCAACTGTCGATTGACAAAGCAATTGTTTTACGTTTTTGAACCAACTTCTAGTTTTTAACTTATAGGGCTATAAGTTGCTCAGTTTTCGATTTCCGATTTTTAAATATTGTATCATGCGTTTATAGGGCTATAAACACTTGACATATTACTGACTCAAATTCAGATATCAGTCGCTCATTTTTCGGCACTCGTTATAGGCCTATAATTCAAAAAGTATTGCTTTTGAATTTCAAGAGAATTCCAAGGGTCAATTCAAATTCTGGTGAAATTCGATGTTTTTGTTAAAATTCAAAAATTCACGTTATAGGCCTATAAGGTCATGTTTGGATTTCTTTGAAATTTCGTGTCGGTCGAATTTGCTCAATCGTTTACACTCGACTTTTGGAGATTTGAAATCAGTTCTCGTCGTATGTTTTTGCTTTGCTCTGGATCCCTTGAATTTACTACCTTCGTTTTCATGCTTCTATTTAAGTGCAAAAAAACGAGGACTACCGACCCATCTGTTCGGCTTACTAAGTTTTTGCTTAGTTTTTTAGTCCTTAGATTTTGTTTCGGGAAAAACTCTCCTGTTTGCAAAAAAAAACTGCATTCACTGTACACTGCTGACTGACCATTTCGACATTCACCCAAATCTTCATATATTGGAGACCTTTTCGCCAGCCATGATCAGGGGTTGTCTGTCCTCTTCGAAAATGGAGTCGTTTTTTCAACTGCGTTGTCGACCTCAAATATATACTGGTTTTGAGGGTTTTTTTTAATGACATTTGAACACGAAACGGCACAAAATCGACCATTATTTTTTGAAATACGTTCTATTTCGTTTATGTTTTCATGTCTATAGGATTTCTTTGGTTTTGGTTTGTTTCTCAGGTTTTCATGAATCCATTGTTCTCGCCGCAATGGCAAATTGTCCACCGTTGCCTTCCCACAAACGCATGGCTTATTGACCACTCTAGCCTGGAACAGAAAGGCACAACCCTCCCGTGGTGTGCAACTTGCCTGGAGGGCTTCCCATCCGACAAGGTAAATGAGACTATTGAACATTTTTTCTTACAATGCCAATCCTCAACGCTAGTTTGGCGATGGTGGGAAAAATTTGGGCAGCCGTTGAAACAGACATTAACTGGTCTTGGGAGTAGAGAGCCCTGCACTGCGGACATTGGACGGCCCAAGGTTCAGGTCTCACCTCCAACCTGTTCTCGATAGGTAGGAAAGCTGTACGGTGAGCCATCTGGAGACGTCGTTGCATATTGACTATTGAGGGCGCTCATATGGGGAGGGGTGAGATGATTGAGATGATCAAGGACACAATTGAGACTTCAATCAGGGCACGATGGACACAACTAGTACAGTCGACAAAGCCCCTCTCCAAAAAGACTGATATTACTCGCTACCTAAATGAATTTTGCATGGACGGGCTGGGAGGGGAACATGGGGGGAGGATAACAAGAGTACAGTGGGGGACGCCGATCATCGGCCGGAAGTCCAAGAGAAGAACTATCGTCTCTGTTTCAATAATTGGACCACGATCCCTTATGATATCCCCCACCCCCCCCAATACAGACTTTCTAGACCCTTTTCCCCTCCCTAATCATTCCAGCTGGCCCGTTTAACCCGGACTGTCACAGGAGAGGAGGTCGTTAGCTGGCTAGTTGGAATGGCGGATGGCGCCCCTTCATCCCGTCGCCCCCTGGAAGAAGGAGGCTCATCCTCATCATTCCAACTGCCACCTACTAATCCCCCTTTGTGCACTTTTTAGCAGGGCCCCAGAATGGTATAGGGAAAAGGTGTCCCACACTGAGAGACAAGCTGTCATCATCCAGGACATCAAGTGGAACAGAGGGATTAATAGTGGGGGATGGGGTGGTAAAGTTTCTTTTGGGAGAGGGAGGAACTAGTCTCTCAGCAGCAGGTATTTGGCACCTGAAACAGGGCGAGGAGTTTTTTTTTTCTTTCTTTTTTCAACAACCTGCACAATCAATCCTCTAGAGGACAGAGTAATCAATGCTCGCAGGCGACTTTCTTAGTCATATTTCCTGACATTTTCCTTATTCATTTTGTGTAAGGGACGTTGGACCCATTTTTTAGCAGGTGATGTTCCCCACCAATAGATGGAGCCTCTCCCTGGGTGCTAGTGATGCCCGTTTTTACCAGCAACACTAACACTGCAGGGGGGTTTTGTTTAAAAAAAAAATAAAAAATAAAAAAAATCAAGACTTAATCGCCCATGATGGACTTGGCGAAACTCGAAGTGCGGCTGAGGTTGAAGAAAACGAGGAGGAAGTATTTTCTCGGAGGCGAAGTTCATAGTGATGGTTGAAGCGGGAGAAGGTAGTTAGAGCTAGAATCGCGCTCGATGTCGGATTTAGAGGACGAGGAGGAAGGGGAATTAGCATCGAAGACAGTTGGAAGGGGATATAGATACAAGATATGGCATGACTTTCGCCTATTTCGGGGGCGATGCGCACAGTATCGAAACTGTTAGGTCCTGGTTCGACTACGTTAACAACTGGAATAATTTGGACCCAGCTTAGGGTCGCGCACAGTATTGCGTATCTGAACCAGGTCCCCTAATTTATATTGTGTTTGTGCTCCTACATTTTCATTCCCAGCCACGCATCCACAAACCTTCCTGTTGTGGGTCAGTTTCATCATTCTTAGTTGCTTTCGGGTCAGCTTTAGGAGAGCCTTCTCCACCGGTTCCAGGTACTAATTTGCCTTAGCTTTCGTTAAAGACCATGTGTCTCTGCCCCTAGGCTCGACGTTTTCCAAGACATCTCAGACATGTGGATTCGTAAGGTGTGGCCCTATGAATTCTAACAATTTGGTATACAATCTCAAGCCACGGGCGAGTGTCGTTGGTGGCCAAATTTCTTCGAAGGGTTGTTTTCATCATGCAATTTGCATTTTTGGCTAACCCATTAGATTGTGACATGTGCGGGGCCATGTGACGGAGTGAGACATCCCTACGTGATAAGAGTTGTTTCGCTTCCCATTGAACTCTCATCCGTTATCCATTAGAATCTTCTTTGTGTCTAGGTAGGTATAGAGAAACATGTTGATATAGGAGGTTATCTCAGAGGTCTTACGTGTCTTACCGGGATGGACTTTTATCCATTTTGTTAAGTGATCAATTTTTACCAATAAAACTGAGAACTCACAGAGGTTGGGGCCGGTGGGTATGTCAAAACTCGTAGTGTCCATATTGACACATTAGAAAGGATGCTCTACTTCGATTGGCAGGATCGTATTGGGTGTCTGAATCTCCGCCTGATCCGCTGCACAGACCAGACATTTTTTTATCACATGCTTGATATCTTCCCGGATTTTTTACCAGAACCATTTGTTCCATTCAACAGAAAAATTCCCACGAGAAATGGAAATTGAAAAAACATTCCATAAATAAAAAATCCTTCATATTTATAAATTATCATTCAAATGTTCAACCAATTCTAAAATTTTCAGTTTTATTTGATAAGTTCCCGTCTAAATATGAGTTTTCCCTTTCAACTAAATCTATTTTTTCAAGATGGAATAGATTCGATTAACCTATCTATGACTGAAAATCTTTACTTAGAATGACTGTTCAATTAAAATATTTAATGAACTCATCCAGACTTTCATTCCATCTATAGCATGCAGTTCAAATAAGAAGGGATACCCCATTTTTGAAAGAAAAGTTTTAAGGTAAGAAGCAAAATTTTAAAATTGGAATGTTATTTTTTAAGATGGAATGAAAATATAAAATTTAGAATGTAATTTTACTATAGAATGATTATTTAATTCTGGGAATACATACCACAAAATAAGAGGTCTGCTCTTCGTGAGCAAATCTTACTCAATTGTATCGCTGAAACGAGTGAAGAATTGTCAGCCATAGTCTCAATCTGT